GGTTTGTAGCCGCCATGTGGGTGCTGGGAATCGAACCCAGGTCCTCTGTAAGAGCAGTCAGTGCTCTTAACTGCTGAGCCATCTCTCCAGCCCTTCTCTAAATTTTTTACACTTATTTGTATGTTCATGGTGGAGGTCAGAAGACAACTTGTCAGAGTCAGTTCTTCCACCATGTGAGTTCCTGGACTCACACTCAGATCATCAGACTTAGTAGCATGCACTCTTACCACTGACCCATCTTGCCAGCCCTTGTTATCAGATTAGGTGCACTTGCATCAGTTGCAGCTAGAGCCTAGCCATGCCCAGGCTAGAGCGTGTCACAGTAAGCAGCCTGCAGTTTGAGGTGCCTCTTCCTGTTCTTTGGATACTTGTCTGCTGCACAGGGTCAGAATGCCCCTTTGGCTTGGTGTCTTGGCTGTGAAACCACATGTTGTCTCTACAGTAGCAGGGTTCAGTTCTGCAAGTTGGTTCTGGGATGACTGCTATCTTGCAGCTGTAATCTGCCAGCCAAACTGTCTCAAGCAGGATTATCCATCCAAGGGAGTTCTAAAAGCAGCTCCATTCCCCAGTGAAGGAGCTGCTTTCAAGTAAACAGTAGAGACAGTCTTCCTTTGAGCCCCGTTTAAGTTGGTAGGTGTAAATCTCTTAGGCAGGGAGGAAGCTGGCAGGTAGAGGTGGAGGGAGCAGGTACTAACCTTCCCAGCTGTATCCTCTTAATTGTTTCCTAACCCTTTGGTTCCCAACAGATTGGTACACAGAACAGCCTGGAGCTTCTGGAAGATCCAAAAGCCGAGGTGGTTGATGAGATTGCCGCCAAACTTGGCCTGAGGAAGGTACGGGACCTGTCAGCCAGGTGACCTTTGGGGGGACCTGAGCTGGGGAAATCCAGGCAGATGGAGTGGCTCAGTCTTGTCTGGGTTCAGACCCCTAGTTGACAAGATCCATTGTAAACTCAACACCTTTGGACCCTTTGGTGTTCGTGAGGTTCTAGTGTTGGTCACTAATAGTTTTGATGATTCTCTTAGAGTGAGATGGGAACCTTTTCTGACGTATAGAGCTGAGTGTTCTGGCGCCTGTGTGTACTCCTAGCCATCTTTGGGCTGAGGCAGGAAGATCAAGAGTTCCAAGGTCAGCCTGGTACCCAAAACAAGACTCCTATCTCTAAAACCAGATCGAAAGAATACACAGTTTTTGAGCCTGCCAGCCATAGTTCCTGAGGACCACTGCCACACCGTACATGTTCCGTAGTAGTGTTTCCCTCTCACATCCTTGTGGCCTTTCCTGTCCTAGATACCCAGTGCTTCTGGAATTCCTCCCTAGATAATCATTGGATTTCCTGTTTCTAATGTGGGTTGGTGAACCTGGAATCGTCTTGGTTTCATGCCCTTGGTAAGACTCCTGGGAATGGCAGGTTGTGGTTTTGTTTCTGAGTTGTGTTCTTGCTTTTGTATACCACACTGGCCTTGAACTCAGATCCTGCTTTGGTCTCACATTGTGGTGATTACAGACATGTGCCACCACCCCTGGCTCGTTAGGACCTGCAGACTCACTGAACCATGCATTGAACACACTGTGGAAGTTCACATTAGTGTGGGTTTTTTGTTTATGTTTTGGGGACAGGGTCACCCTGCAGCCCCAGCCAGCCTGGAACTCTATGGCCTTGAACTCAGAGATCCGCCTGCCTCTGTCTCCTGAGTGCTAAGATTAAAGGTGTGTGCTACCATGCCTGGCTATTAGTGGGTGTAAGTTTTAGCCTTTATTTGGACAGTGAGAAATAATCTGTATGGATTATTTTGTTTTATCTTTCAATAGATGGATAGGACTAGGAAACCTAGGAATACTCCTGAAAAAGTCGGTACAGTTTTACCCTGTTAGGGAAAAATTGTCCTCCAGTTTCAAACAGGGAGTCAGCATCTCAATGAAAAGTCATGTTTAGTTCAAATTCTGGAAGTTCCTTTATTCAGGAGAGAAACTGGCCTGGTGTTTTGACCTATGTGTGTTATAAATTTGTGGCTCATAACATCATGATCATAGAATGTCCTGAAGTTACTTAAGTGCTTTCCTCAGAACCCAAGCTCCTTGCTTGCTCTTACGGATTTTGACTTGCTGACTTACATGGGTTGTCTGCCTCACATTCTTGGTTACCATCCTCCCTGGGTTGTACTCATCCAGCCAGGTATTGTAACGCTGGTGGTTCCCAATACACCCAGTCTTGTCTGTACAGGGTGGTTTGCAGAGCTGAGTCAGACTCTCCTGGAGAGGGTGGTGGGCCTTTGTCACTTCCAAGGATGGAGGTGGATACTTGGCTTGTCACCCAGCCCTGATCTCTCACTTGCTTCTGACTCTGGAGGCTAAGATAAACATATATGGTAGAACAGGCAGGTCTTGTCACTTTAGCACATGCAGGGGCTGCACAGTGCCTCAATTCTAGGACTGGCCTTTAGGGTGCCCCAGTGATGGGGCTCTAGACCTTGTGCCTTCAGCTGCTCTACTAGCCTCGGGTGTCTCTGGTGTGACACTCTTCATCTTAAGTGTCTCTCTAGGAGTCTACCTGTAGAGGACCCTCCTATTCTAGTTTGCCTTCTGTTGTGATAAACATGAAACAAAGCAGCCTGGGGAGAAGGGGTTTATTTCCTCTTAGAGCTTACGAAGTTCATCCTGGAGGGAAGCCAAGGCAGGAGTCTGTGGCCAGGAACTGAAGCAGAGATGATAGAGGAACACTGCTTATTGCCTATTCCCTTTGGCTTGCTCAGCTACCCTTCTTTGTACATCCCAGGTCCACCTGCCCATATCGGACTGGGCCCTCCTACTTCAGCTAGCAAGCAAGAAAATACCCCACAGACATACCTACATACCAATTTGATGGAGGAAATTCTTCATTTGAGGGTCCCTCTTCCCAGGTATCAAGTTGATGACCAAGATTCGCCATTACACTACCACAGGAACATCACCGCTTACTTCTTGTCCACCTTACTTTTTGGAGCACAAGTTCCTTCTTTTCACATCCTGTTGGTCTCATTCAATAATGTTCTTGCACCTAACAAAGTGTGGTGCCCAGGGGTCCTAAGTAGAGCCCTGTCTGATGGATGAATGTTTACCTGTCACAGCAGCACCAGAAGAAAGTACCAGTTTCTTCCTGGTAGCTGAGCTGAAGAGCCACACTCAGCTTTACTTGGTTCATGAGCAGGAAGGGCTATCTGTAAGACACTGTTTTTATGCTCCCTGGACAGAAACCAGGAACCATCATCATCTGTTTTATGGAGATACTCAAAAGATACTTTCCTTTTTCATTAAGGTTGGATGGATATTCACGGACCTTGTCTCAGAAGATACCCGAAAGGGTACAGTCCGATACAGTCGAAATAAGGTGAGATGGAGACAGGAATGTTGGCTTGTCCCTGAAACCTGATTCAGGTAGCACTGACTTGGATCTCACGGTCTCTGCACAGCTTGGAAATGGTTTTTCAAGACAGTCTTCTTGGTCAGTTAAGGCTCAGCCTGTTGATTCTGTCTGGCAAAGCAAATTCCACCTTGCCTTACCTGTAGCCCTGTGGGGGTGGGTTGCTCAGGGCTTCTTGCCCTCCTAGTTTGGGTGATTTTACACGAGTCCCTAATTGCTAGGAATTATAGATATTTGTCTCAGTGTAATTTCTGAGGTGTTATAGCTTAGCTCCTGAAGTTTTTCTTTTCTGAGACTGTCACACTTGTGTAGCTCTGGCTGGCCTGAAACTTGCAATGTAGACCAGGCTGGCTTCAAACTCACATAGATCTACCTGCCTCTGCCTCCTGAGTGCTGGGCTCTGGGCTCTTTTTATTTTTTTTTTCTTTTTTAAATTTATTTATTGTGTGTGGCACGCATGTCGAGGTCAGAGGATAGCTTGTGGGAATTGTTTCTCTCCTTCCACCATGTGGGTTCCGGGGATCAAACTCAGGTCATCAGGCTTGGTGACAAGCACCTCTACCTACTGAGCAATCTTGCTGGCCCAACTTGTAAATTTTCTAAAGAACTAGAAGCTTGTTTTGACACATGCTGTAAAATTTGATATGCCACCTCTCTTGGCTTAGGACACCTATTTCCTGAGTTCAGAAGAATGCATCACTGCAGGAGACTTTCAAAACAAGCACCCCAACATTTGCCGGCTCTCTCCCGATGGGCATTTTGGATCCAAGTTTGTTACTGCAGTGGCCACAGGTATAAATGGGCAGAGTAACGCCATAGACACACTGCCCACTAATGTGTACTGTTCTTCTTTGCAGCAGCTTTGCACCCTTGACTCTATGACTTGTGAGGATATAGATTCTTCCTTTTGTTTTATGGTGAAAACTCTGACTTTAGCATCACCTGTGGACGTGAGGCAGAGTTGGGGCTTTTGCATTGCTGTTCTCAGGTCTCATGCTCTCATCTCAAGACTACAGTAACTCTTGCCTTTCGTCTGTTCCTTTTCCCAGCAGCCAGAAATGACTGCAAGAAGAGGGATTCCTGTTCCCATGGCTCATGCACCTTCAACAATAGGAATGTTCTTTAAATTCCATCAAGTTCTTTTGGGAGTGACATGTGTTGGATAATATGTGTCATATATATGTCATAGAGGAATAGGAGATTGTGGCTTATAAGAACACATACTAGATCTTTTATATATTCCTAAGGTGCTATCCCAGAGAAAAGCAAGATGCAAAGTCATAGTATTAAAAGGAATAGGAACTTGGGAATTTGAGAACCGGGTCATAGGCATGTAAACTACTCTGCTAGATTTTCAGTAAGTTCTGATTCTGATCCTGTGAAGGTCTGGCCTCTCCCTTCAAGGAAACAGCAGTCCTCTTTTCTTGGTGACCACCTTTCTCTTGGTTCTTAGAATGCCCCCTTCCAGCTCATACACAGCGTACGCTGGGGACCTAGTCAGGTGTCCACTGCCATGGGTTACTTATTCAAGAGGCTTTCATACTACCAGAATTTTTAAGCCTTACTAAATGTGAGCAAGCTTACCTTTGTGTGGTGTAAGGTCTTAAGGTCTGTTTAAATTGATAAGTATTTCGTTTGTTTGGTTGGTTTGCATGAATGTATTTTTTGCAGAGTAGGAGATATTAGTGGCCTCTTTGTCCTGTTGGTAATAGATACATGTTGTTACACATATGGATTAGTGATGTCAGATTTATTTTTCTAAATTGTTGTTGGGGTCAAGTGATGAAGAGCATGGGTAGAGGCTGGCACTGGTTAGGATTGAAGGATGTCAGTAAGTCTACAGAACTCACTCTTGTGGACAGACGGGGCAGAAGGGACTGACACAGTGCTACATGCCAGGGCTCCAGGCTTTACACAGAGCTGGACAGCAGATCCATCTGACCTCTGCCTTGGCCATCAGGGTTGTGGTCTCCTGAGGTGCTTCATGCTGTCTTACTCAGGCCAAGCCACGTGTTCTCTGTTTCCCAGTATTGTGGTTCCAGAGGTCGTGGTGGGTGTTGAAAGTGTGTATATGAGGCTTCATAGTGGCTTATAAAGTAGCTTTGATTCTGATCTCACCATGATAGATTGGGATTTTTGCCCACATGATGTGTAAGGGGTTCAAGAGTACAAGGGGTATGAAACAGTTCTTACTGTGTGTGATTTCCCTGTATCTTGCAAGATGCCCAGCATCCTCAGCTCCACCCCACAAAAGCTGGCAGTGCCCCATTATTGATACAGCCAGAAACACCTTGAGAGACTTGGAGAACCATCACCTTCACTAAGGATGACTATGACTGTTGGGGTCTTCTGTGGGCTTCTGTAGTAATTCAGCCTTTTAATTACTGTTTCTATAGGAAAATGTTCCATGGGCCAAAAGAATTAGCACATTTTTAGAATTAGAAGTAGTTTTTACATGTTGGAGACTGCCACCTTCAGTTACTACGTCACACTACTGGCTGAGTTTGGAAATCAGATCACCTATGAAATTTTTGCCTCCAGAATTGTCACTTAAAGGATGTGGGAGGTAAAGGCTGACCTCATTTAGGGTAAGATCTGTAGTCAGCTGGTTTTGTCTGAGTGTTGGCTCCTCCCTTTTGTTGCTTTGTTGCACCATCTTCCTCTCCTGAAGAATGGCTGTCCACAGGGCTGCAGATCTCACTGGGGTTTTAGTTACCACAGCCAGGACATCGGTTTTCTCCCTCCAAATAAAGTGCGCCTTTCTTCTGTGTTAGAGGTGCTAGAAAATGCAATCCCATCTCCTTGTTAGAGAAGAAGTTTTGAGCTGATGTGTTTGCAGATACCTCCTTTTGGGTGCTGGACTGGCCCTTCTGCAGGCTGAGCTCAGGTACATGCAGGATACTGGGACCTAGGCCCTTGCTTCTGCCTGCAGGTCCTTCCCACCCTCTGTGATTTTCTGCAGCTTTTCTGACTTGGTTATGTGTAGTGGTTTGCCCAGGTGACGAGAGGGAACCTGAGTGAAGGCCATACTACATGGCCTTATCTCTGGGTCTTCGTCACTGGGTACATGTTTAACTGCTGGACTGTGAAAATGACTTTCTGTAAATGTGCTTTCAAAACAAGAAATACACCTCAAATTCAAGGCAACTCAGTCCTTTCTGTCACTCCCCCTCTGCACAATACGCTCCATCCTATATGTGGGCTCTCTGGCGATGCTTTGCATAAGGAATGATAGTGAATTTGCCTAGCCTCCTCAGCATCTCGGCCTGTGTAAGGTTTCCAGAAACACTAAGTAAACCTAAGTGGGAAAGGAATGTTTGTAGCTCATCTCAGTCTGTTGCCTTCAGAGACTGCCCATGGTCGCCAGTGTCACTTTTTTTCTCTGTGGTGTTAAGAGATTGAACCCAGGGCCTCAAGCATACTAGGTCCACTGAGCTATATCCTCAGATACATCATCTCCCCCCCGGTTTTTTTGTTTTTTTTTTTTTTTGCAGGAGCGACTTTGTAGCTTAGGCTAGCTTTAAACTCCTGATCCTCTTGTCTCTACCTTCTAAATCCTGGGATTAGAAGCATGCACCCATGCCTGGTTTCCAGTGTTGCTTTTTTGTCTTTTTGAGACAGGGTCTCCCTGTAGCCCCAGCTGTCCTGGAACTTACTATGTAGACCAGGCTGGCCTTGAACTCACAGAGATCCGGCTAATTTTGTTTTTTGTTTGTTATTTTTTGTTTTGAGAGAATGTCTTTCTATAGCCCGTAGACCAGTCTGGCCTTGATCTTACAGTGATTGCTTCCCTCCGCCTCCTGAGTCCTGGGATTAAAGCAGTCAGTGTGCTACCATGCCCAACTCGGTCTTTTTGAGACAGTCTCTCTCTGTCTCTCTGTAGCCCCAGCTGTCCTGGTGCTCACTATGTAGACCAGGCTGGCCTTGAACTCACAGAGATCCGCCCAGCCCTTACTCCTCAGTGCTGGGATTGAAGGTGTGTGCCACCACGCCCAACTATCTTCCACCTTTTCTGATTGTGTTCATGTCTGGTTTCAGATGTGTATTTGTAAACTAGGTAGACTGAATCTGTTTCCTATAAACTACTCTGAGTTTTTCCAAATGAAACAGAAATAGGGTTTTTTGGGTTTTAGGGGTGGTTCTGAGAATCAAACTCTTGTCATTAAGCTTGGTGACAGATACCTTTACCCACTGAGCTCTCTCTCCAGTCCCCATGACCTTAGGTCTTTATGAAGTAGTGCTTGGGAAGAAGGGAAACAAACTGTAAGACAGTGAATGGGCCACGAGTCTGGGGTACTGGGAGGAGATCCTGTGGGTGGCCTGCTGAGTAGTGTGGATAGTATCCACACCTTCACAGTGTGAGATGATCCCTGGGGCACTGACCTGATGCCACCACATAGGTTTCTATAAGCTGGAGACTGTTGGGTATGATCTGTGTGCTAGGAATGGCTTTCCTTTTTTGGCGGGGGGGGGGCAGGGATCTCCCTGTAGCCCCAGGTGTCCTGGAACTTGCTATGTAGACCAGGCTGGCCTTGAACTCACAAAGATCCACATGCCTCTGCCTCCCAAGTGCTGGGATTAAAGGTGTGTGCCACCATGCCTGGCAGCTTTCCTTTTTACAAAAATCATTTTGTGGGGCTGGAGAGATGGCTCCACAGTTAAAAGCACTCCCAGCACCCACATGGTGGCTAACAGCTGTTTGTCTTCTGACCTCTGTGGGCATTATATGACATGGGTGCGCTTACATACATGTAGGCAGTACATTTATACACATAAAAATAATAAATAACATATATTTTAAAAATATTTAAAAAATAATAAAAATATTGGTCTTTTTGAGACAGGGTCTCTCTGTAGCCCCAGCTGTCCTGGAACTCACTATGTAGACCAGGCTGGCCTTGTACTCACAGAGCTCCACCTGCCTCTGCCTCCCTAGTGCTGGAATTAAAGGCATGCGCCACCACGCCTGGCCTTATGATAAAATATTTTAAATCATTGTGAGAGAGAGAGAGAGAAAGAGAATGAGAGAGAGGGTTCTAGGAGTAGAACTCAGGTTGTCAGTCTTGACAAGTGCTTTTTTTTAAAAATTTTGTTTATTATTATTGTTATTTTATTTTATTTTTTTGGTCTTTTTGAGCCAGGGTCTCCCTGTAGCCCCAGCTGTCCTAGAACTCGCTATGTAGAACAGGCTGGCCTTGAACTCACAGAGATCCACCTGCCTCTGCCTCCTGAGTGCTGGGAGGCGTGTGGGCCACCGCGCCTGGCTTATTTATTATTTTTATTTTATGTGTATGCATGTATTGCCTGCATGTAGATAAGTGCACCTATGTCATGCAATGCCTGCGGAAATCAGAAGAGGCTGTTAGATCCCCTGGGACTGGAGTTACAGACAGTTATTAGCTGCCATGTCGGTGCTGGGATTCAAACCCAGGCCTTCTGCAAGACCAACCAGTGTTCTTAACTGTTGAGCTATCTCCAGCCCCCAGTGCTTTTTTTTTAAAACCTACTTAGCCATTTTGACAGCCCTTGTTATTACTATTATTGTTAAGAGATGATAGTCTTGTGTACCCTAGACTGGCCTTGAACTTGCTATTTAGGAGAGGATGATTTGAATTTCTGATACTCTTGCCTCCATCTCCAGAAGATTACAGACATTCATTGCTATGCCTGGTTTATGTGGTGTTGGAGATAAAACCCAGGGCTTCATGCCAAGCCACAGCCCACTAAGTTTGCTTTTACTGATGATTGTTTTTGTTTTGTGTGTTGTACCCCCACCAACACCTCCAAGTGTGTGAAATGTAGGACAATATTTGTCCTTACACCTTTGTATTAAAAACTTAGTTTGTGTCCTCGGTGACACTAAAGCACAGTGCCAGGGGTGGGGGTTAGAGTGGTTTTACAGTCTGGACTCTCTGGACTCTGACAACATGTCGTGGGTGGCTCCTGTGTGTTGCCCTTGGCTATGGAGAAGCGAGCCATGTCCAAAGCCTGGTGCTCCAGCCACTTTCCATGCTACCCAACAGACTCTTGAAAGTTTGCTTCCCATTGGTTGAAGAGTAGCTGACGTGGAGTGCTTCTGATGGTCCCTTGGCAGAGTCTTTTTAAAGGTCTTTCTCTTACAGGTGGTCCAGACAACCAGGTTCACTTTGAAGGGTACCAGGTGTCCAACCAGTGCATGGCCCTGGTCCGTGATGAGTGCCTTCTGCCATGTAAGGATGCTCCTGAGCTTGGCTACGCTAAGGAGTCCAGCAGTGAGCAGTATGTTCCTGACGTGTTTTATAAGGTAAAAAAAATAGCAGAATAAGAATTACTAAGCACATGTAGGACAATGTGAACCTGCCCTGAACTCTTGCAATCTCACTGCACTTTGGAGTGTCATGTGCTTGTCAGCCATGGTGTTTGGAGCCCTGCTTTGTGGATCAAGGCATCTGTCACATTTCTGGGGCTTATTGTTGCTTGGTTACTCAGTCTTTCGTGCTGTTGGAGTATATAGCCAGAAAAGGAACCTCACATATTTTGGATTTGGATATGTTATATCAAATCAGAGCATTGTAACCAGACTTACTTTGTAAAATTGAGAGCTATTTGAGATCATTTTTAGAATTCTGCCTACTACAGTTAATCAGTTTTGTTGTGAGGCTTCCAAATAAAAGAATAAATAGCAGCAGAAAGTTATCAAATTAGGACAAACATCCAGCAGAGACAGACTACAGAAGCCTCCTTAAGGCAGCCAGCTGCAGTTCCCTATCAGAAGTCTTAGGTGGAGGGGCTGGAGAGATGGCTCAGCAGTTAAGAGCACTGGCTGCTCTTGCAGAGGACCCAGGTTTGGTTCCCAGCATCCACATGGTGGCACATAGCTGTCCATAACTCCAGTTCCAGGGGATCTGATGCCCTCTTCTCGTCTTCTCAAGCACTGTACAGGCAGTGCACTTCATACATGCAGGCAAACACTGATACACATAAGATAAAAGTAAATTTTGTTTATTTTATGTGTATGCGCATATTGCCTGCATGTAGATAAGTGCACCCATGTCGTGCAGTGCCCATGGAGGTCAGAAGAGGCCATTGGATCCCCTGGGACTGGAGTTACAGACAGTTGTTAGCTGCCATGTGGGTGCTGGGATTTGAACCTGGGTCTTCTGCAAGAACGGTCGGTGTTCTTAACCGCTGAGCCATCTCTCCAGCCCTAAACGTAAATTTTAAAGCAGAGTCTTGGGCAGAGCAGTGTTTCCCCTGGTGAGACTTCCAAGCAAAAGAGCAAATAGTGTAATGGCCCCAAATGGAGTCCCCCAAATTGTAAAAGCAGAGTAACTTCACTTTGTATAAAGCAGCCACTCTTAACTTCAAAATCTAGAAAAACAGCCAGCTTCAAGGTTAAATGCCTGAACTTAGTTGCTGCCCCTTAGAAGAGTGCTTTCTTTGGAGTAGCTGACCTTGGTTACCTCCCAGACACTGCAGTTGTGCTTCTTGCCTAGCCAAGAAGCCTAAATAACAAAGTGCCTTACTGTCAAGATCTTTATACATCTGTTAAGAGAAGGACTAACACAAGCTTGTTCTGGCTTCTGTAGTTTGCTTATTTGCAAACTTGGGCCGTCCTGACCCTATTCAGGACCACTTCACATTACTCATATGTGATGAAATTTCTATGGTGTTTGTGGATTTTGACTTTATAAATTAGTCTCATCCTCCCCTCGGAGCCGTGGGTCCTGAATCTGACTTAGGGGCCACAGACCTAATAAATTTGACCAATTAAAATTTGAATTGGGGAGGCTGGAGAGATGGTTAAGAACACTGATTGCTCTTGCAGAGGACCCAGGTTCGATTCCCAGCACCACATGGCAGCTACGAACTGGGGCAATATTTTTTTAAAAAATTGAATTGGGTCTGGTGGTCTTTTTCCCAGTGGTTTCAAACTCCGTAACAACAGCAACAGATGACGCCATGTCAGCTGTTCACAACATGAGCAGAAGCCAGCTGGGATAGTTGAGGCAGTTAGTTGAATTGAGCTTTTTAACTCCGTGGTTGAATTTCCCTTGGCTGAGCTATCCACGGCTGAACTTTCAGCCTGTCTCCCACTGCAGGCATGTTTACATCCTGGGGTAAATAATAGTTCACTCTGTTGGAAATGCTTTACCGTCAGTTGTTTTCAAGGGCACAATGTTTTTCCTCTTGGACTGTTTTTTTTTTTTCCTCCCTGTCATAGAGTAAGGGGACATAGCTCATTCCTAGACAAGGGGCCTTAGAGAACACTTTGAGACAAAGCTTGGATCTGAAATGGGCAGGAGCAAAGAACATACATTGAAGTAATCCTTTTAGTTGTCCTGTGGACTTTGTGGCTGATCTCTAAAATGTGCTGCATAAATGAAACCTGTACTAGTATATTATCTAAGGCCACTGTTTATAACTATGTCAGCCATGATCATCAAAACTGGAAATAACTGAATAGTCCTGTGACAAAGGTCATCAAATAATCACACACCTCTGTGGTGGAGGGCTGTGAACGCCACAGGTCAGGTGTCATTCTGTTAGAGATGCCGGATCAGACTCACTGTATGAGACTAGAAGTTGACACATGTGGTGTGATCCCACTATCTTTCTGGTTTGTGAGCATATATATGTTTAGACATGTGTGCACTTTTCTTTGTATTCACAAGTAGATGGGAGCAGGGAGTCTGAACGTGAAGTGGGAGGGGTGCTGTGCTCCATATGCTTTGCAGCCAGTGACTCAGGAAGGAAGAGCAGTAGGCAGAGACCCCAGTGCTGGAGAAGGAGCTAGGAGACCAAGATGTGCCCATAACTCATGCATGCTTTGAGAAGCACAGAGGTGAGGGCTGTGCGTGGACAGCCCTAAGCTCTAAGGCCCTTCCAGAATTGTTAGCCATGAGGTTTCTGAGTTAAAGTAAGGTTTTTTTTTTAAATTTTATTATTTTTATTTTATGTGTATGAGTGCATTGCCTACATGTATGTGAGTGCACCCATGTCATGCAAAGCCACAGAGATCAGAAGAGGGTTTCAGAGTCCCCTGGAACTGAAGTTAAGGACAGTTCATAGCCGCCATGCGGGTGCTGGGAATCGAACCAGAGTCCTCTGCAAGAGCAGTCAGTGCTCTTA